GAAGAAACTCAGAGCCTGGTGCACAGTGACCCAGGTAAAATGGAGAGGGAAGGAGGGAAGCCAGATATGATCCTCTTGCTGAATTTGTCAGAGAGTATACCAATCCTTACTGTGCGTCCCCAGCTAAGAACCACCCCTGCCTAAGCAGTCCTGTGCCTTCCAAGTGGGAGAAACCCACTTGGTTAACTCTGCTCTCGTCCTAGGCTGAGGACAGAGGAGGAATTTCAAACACAGGATGCTGATCAGTTTCATTCCTTGCAGTCAGAGATCTGAGGGATGATAGATGTCAGAGAGTTAGGTGATAGGCAGACCACAAGATTAGGAAGACATATGTATGATACTTATCTGGAAGGGATGTGGTGGGGGACATGTATGGAGGTTTTCCTTTATACCTTTATACCTTCCTTTTCCTTTATACCTTCCTAAAACTCCAGCACGCTGGCATGTGTATTCTCTACAGATTGAAAATCAGGTTCAATATTTCTGCAGTCTTTTTGAAAAATAATTCCTTTACCAATTTCAGAAATGTACAATATTCATGTATTCATGGTGTGTGTGTGTGTGTGTGTGTGTGTGTGTGTGTGTGTGTGTGTGTTTGTGCATGCTTGGAACAATTTGTACCATGCTTTCTGATTCTTCTTCAGCTTTCCATCTTCTTTTCCCAGGAAGTGCATGAAAACTTCTCTTTGAGGGAAAAAGGCCAGCTTTTTAAACAATCTGTCCACATTCTCTTGTCTAACCAAATTTATTGCCCACCAGCAGCTTATTACTTTAAAAAGTACTCGCTAATTCATATATTCAAAGCATGTGTCCTAGTATCTCTTAAGACATATAATGGAACTATTTGGAGGACCAGCCACAGGTTAGGGTCCTGCAAAATTCAAAATGAAATCATTTTTGGGGGGTGTATCAGGGATGAAACCTAGAACCTTGTGCTTTTGAGGTAGGCAGTGGAACCCCTGAGCTAAATCCTCAGCCTAAAATGAAATCATTTTTGCACTAGGAGATTATAACTCATGTCAGCTAATCTATAGTACGAGTTAATTTATTGTGTGGTCATTTGGGCTATAGAACCTATAGTAAATAGAATAGTGAACTGGCATCCCTAAAATTCATGTTCAACTAAGACTCAGGATGTGACTTACTTAGAAATAGTGTTTTTGCAAATATAATTAGTTAAGTTAAGGAGCACTCACACTGGGTTAAAGTGGGCCCTGGCCTAACGACTGGTGTCCTTATAAGAAAGCCGTGTGACACACTCAGAGAAGAGACACAAGAGACTGAAATGATATATCCACAAAGCAAGGCACACCAACGATTGCCACTACCTCGAGAAGCCAGGAAGAGACAAGGACAAGGAGAAATCCTCCACAACACTTTCAAAGGGAGCACAATGACATCTCGATTCCAGACTTTGGTCTCCAGAACTCTGAGGGATTTGTATTAATGGAGCCACGCCCCAGGAAGCTAACTGAAGGGTCCAGGCGACAAAGCTATATTGTAGAGGTTCATGTGAACCAAGAAGCTGTGAGCAGAGGGATCACTGAGCACCTCCTGTGCCCTCTGTCTCCCACCAGCTAAGCCCATCAGCAGTGGAGCATGCCACATGAGGGCTGGTGACCCTTGAGTTACTTTGAGGAATATCTTCTCTGCCAGCTCACATTGCACAGCCAAGAGCCAGGCTGTGGAGCTTTTGATGTCTACACATATGTGGGTGGCAAAACACATACAAATAGTATACATGGTGACTTCAGGCATCCCCAAAGCAAGGATGCCCATCCCCATGGACCCATTGCTTCTTAGACTCCTATCCACCCATGGAGGAAACCACTCTCAAACTCATGCAAGGCCATCCTTAAGATAGGGAAAATGTCTGAGCTGTGATATGGGCTGGGATGTACTTACAGTGCCCTTTGACCATTCACAATTATGCATATAGCAAGTCAACAGCCTAGGGACAAACTTTGCAGATGGTCATCCATTGCCTGTCTCTCTCTGTGGGAAATCATAAAGGTGATTGATTCACGGGAGTCAGGAGAGGCTATGCTCAGTGTAGAGCTGGATGGGCCAGGACTGGGAAATGGGCTGGGGAATAATGGCTGCAGCTGCCTACAGACTGTACATCATGACTGAGAGCTCAGCATTTGCACAATACAGCCCACAGCTCTCGAAGGTCCTGCTGGCAAAACTGAAGCCAGAACCCAATAGTTAGTTGTCAGGCCATGAAAAAGAAAAGAGTGTATCAGTAAGAATGACTAAGAATGAAATAGTCAGAGTGGAGCAGGAGGCTCAGGCCAGGAAGCCCAGAAGGTGTGAAGAGGAGGTCTCTGTTCAGAGGTACTAGGGGAGCAGGTTGTGAAAGTGGATGCTGAGTTGGAATAGCTCATCAAGAATTCATGTTGAGATTTAATGGCCATTTTAACAGCATTACCAGGTGAGACCTCCAGGAGGTGAATAAACTAACACCACCATTGTGGGAGGGGGTTGGTTTCTCTAGATGTGTTTGTAATAGGTTTAGGCCTCTTTTGTCTTCTCTTGGTGTCCCAAGTGTGCTTGCTTCCTATGTTTGTTATACTATGATGCAGTGTGGGTGAAGACCCTCCTCAGATTCTGATGCTGTGCTCTTGGGTTTCCCCATCTCTTTATGTGAGCCAAATCAAGTTCTAGGTTTTGTAAGGCACCCTACCCATCGTATTCCCTTTTAGCATCAGAAATCAGACTCGGATGGTATGGGAACGAATGGAGTACAGATCCTGGAGGACCCAAAGCAGTCTTTTTGTGGTTCTAGGATACTCAGCCATTCCTTGACTTTAGATTCTACCTTCTGATGTGTGGTTCTAGTTGGAGCTCAGAAGACCAGAAGCAGTAAATTCTCAGCAATCTACCAAACTGGCACCTTATTTCTGGATGTTTGAAATATGTCTAACTTTTTAGTTTTCAAATAAGGTTCTGATGTATGTAAAATATATATATATATATATACCAGAATGCTGGCAGGAATGTGAACATTAAAGGCCAGGCTCAGAATTCAGCTGGGAAGAAATATTTCTCTGAACTAGAGCCCATGTGAGTTACACTGTGGCAAAAAATTGTGCAGATTTTTCTCATGTTCAGAGATTTTGTGGGAGGCTGAGATTAGGTTCAGTGCACTGATTAATCTAGTGGAAGAAATTTTAAGGTAGCCCAGTGTTCAGGCTGTGGCACAGACTGATGGCTGCTTTTAGCAAGATTTACAGCAAGGAACATAAAGTTAGAGCAAAACAATTTAAAAATTTTTTAACTTTAGCTCAAAAGAAACCACAAGTTGAGGCCAAAGGAGGTCTGGTTGATGAAGAGATTTGCACTGTTAGAAAGAAACCAAGCACTTTGTACAAGGAAAAGAGAAAAGATACCTCGAGGGAGCTCAGAAATCAATAAGACCCTACCCATCACAGGCTCAAAGGTGTGAAAGTATAAATCTTTCATTTGGAAGAAAGAGTCCCTGAGATCCTTGCTAGAGAAGAGCCTCTTAGGGAACTGGTTTCCTAAGATTCCTTTCACTGTGGTCAGCTATCCACACATTCAGAAGCTGCTATAGCCATTATCCAAGGGAGGCTGGTTAATGTTCCTGCTGACAGCAGACCTTGGCAAAATCCCTGTGAGGTAGGCTTCACCGTCATGCAGAATGTAAGAGTTGTGGGACCAAGAAGGCTTCCATTCAGGTTTCAGTGGGAGGACTAGAAGGTCAGGCAAGGAGCCCTATGAAGCAGTGGGAATAAAGCTGAATGAATGTGCAGTGGAAACCTTAAGATACGTAGTTATATCATATTGTGGTCCCTGAATTAGGCAGCTTTTTGTCACTGGGGCACAATGCTCCATACTGACAGCTCAAGGGGGGGGTAGGTTTAATTTGTCTCATGGTTTAGGGAATGTAGTTCCTGGCAGTAACATCATAGCAGGTGGATGTAGTGGAGCGTAGATGCTTGGTTGGAGGCAGCCAGGGAGAAGGAGGGAGTGATACCAGGAAAGAAGGTCTGGAGATCAGATATATACCTAAAGTCACACTTCAATAACCCACACAAACACCCACAAGCATGTTTTACTAATCTCATGGGCAGATTCCAAGCCAATCAAGTAGAAAACGTTAAGGTTAATTTTCACATCCCATACCTTGGCAACTTTACACTCAAAAATCTCCTTAGACCAATATTTAATATCCAAATAAAGATAATTCAGAGACCATTTGCATATGGACTATGTAGCAGGCTACATGGACGCAGGAAACAGAAAACACACCGTAGGTTAAAGAGAAAAATTTTAACATAAAATTTATTAACTATAATAAAGTTACGGTTCATATATAAAAGAGAGGTCTCCATGGTGTCCACATCTGAAGGGGGACTTCAGGGAGGAAAGACTTCGATGCATTTGAATCTTACTGGGCAGGATGGCCAGGCTGGCGTTGGTCTAAACTTTCTGGGTAAACTAGCCTCACAAAGGCACATGGAGCTGGATATTATCAATCCCTGGGCTTCAGAGGGACAGCGTACATTCAGGGGAGGAGCGTACTTGCAAGGAAAGTGGTTATGACTTTCAAAGAGTGTGCTGCTCTGTGGAATCCTGCTACACACATATGGTACACGTGGCCTTACTAGGGATGGGTATAGACGGCTAATTCTAGGCTCAACCTGCAAGGTCACAGAGGGACCGCTTTGGGGGCCTGTTTATATTTATGGTGTAAAATATGATAATTTGCTACTGTATACAATAAGTAATGATCAAAACAGTATAATCAGTCTCCTCAAACATTTATCATGTTCTTACTTATCGGGCATTTGAGTATTATACTTTTTATTTGGTGAATATGAAAACATTTAAAATATTTGGAATATATCTAGAAGTTAGATAGCTTTGTTATATAATTCATTCTTGTGTAGTATTTATGTATCAAGTTGAGAATTGGCGCATGAATTATTTCTAATTTCTAACTCATATTTCTTTTCTATTTCTATTTTGCCTAGGTCTTATACAATATATTAATTGCCTTCACAAAGATGCATAAATTTGAAGACATAGAGCCTGTTGATATTTTGGCTGGATGTGCCCGATTCATCGTTGTGGGCTGTGGGGGAGTATTCTTTGGCATCATTTTCGGATTCATTTCTGCATTCATCACACGTTTCACTCAGAACATCTCAGCAATTGAACCACTCATTGTCTTCATGTTCAGCTACCTGTCTTATTTGGTTGCAGAAACGCTCTATGTCTCGGGCATTCTAGCGTGAGTACAGTCCAAGCACCTTACCCTACAAAGAAACTTCACAACCCTAGGAGGCAAAGCAGATATCTGAAGAAGGCATGGATTCTGCCACGAATCATCAGAGATGTTTCAGGGCTTAGAGTTTTGTGTTTTAACTTTCATGAAATCTGATTCAGGTCCTTTGCCAAACAAATATTCTCTCCAACATTTGTGTTTGTTCCCTTGTAATTTGCCTGAGGAGTGCCTAGCAATTATAATGTCAACTCAGAAAAGCTGGGGAGCCTACCGTCTGGATTATTTTGTTTTTATTTTTATTTTTGAAAAACTAATTTTCAGGCAGAAGAGAGGCTTGTGTCCCTTCCTGGGTCTCCTGCCACCCCCTTCAACCACCTTCACAGCTCTGTGACCCTTCAGGGTAGGCAGACACTAGGCAGCTGGGATCAGTATAGAAACCTACATTTTTTTGATCTAATGAAAATATTTTTGAAATGCTTTATCTTGTGTCCTTGTGACTTTGAGATTCTTTTTCTTAAAATGAATTTTCTCAGTTGGGCTTATATCTTGTTACACTGTTTTCCCAATGACGTTGTCCTTATATTCAGATATTTAGGCAGAAATAGTTAACTTTAATACCTAGGATTGCCGATGCCAGTTTAACTCTAGGCCTCTGTCATTTTTTCACCTTAAAAACACCAAGGGAAGGCAGAGTTCTTTCCCCACACTTGCTAAGTGGTTCTAGCGCAGAAATATTCAGAATGAAAAATTTGTCATAAAATAGTTGCAAGAAGTGTTATTTGTTTGCAGGAAATCAGGGTCTTGCTGAATTGTTATGTACATCCAACCAAAGCAGATTTATTTTCATTTAAGAAAGAGTAAAGGCAAATGTAAGAATTGGGCCCGACAGAGCTCTAGAAGAGGAAGGAAAGCAGGCAGAGAAGCTTCAGTATTGCTTTCTGGAACTGCTCCGCCATTTTACTGGAGGAGGCCACATGACACACACTTTCCCTACCATGCCTCCTTTTTCTTGTAGAGACCTCTAGGGGAGGGGAAGAGGAAGACAGAAAAGCTGTGGAAAGTCTGCAACCAGGAGAGAGAAACTCAGGAGACATTCTTTCTGAAGAAAGACAGGCTTTGTGTGTCTGGGGCTTTGCCAATGTGGAGGACATTTTGTGGAAGCCTAGAAACTACAGTATCTGCTTCTCTCTGAGACTCTGCTCTTTTCCAGAATCACAGCCTGTGCAGTGACAATGAAAAAGTATGTGGAAGAAAATGTGTCCCAGACATCCTACACAACCATCAAGTATTTTATGAAGATGCTAAGCAGTGTCAGTGAGACCCTCATCTTCATCTTCATGGGTGTGTCCACCATTGGGAAAAACCACGAGTGGAACTGGGCCTTCATCTGCTTCACTCTAGTCTTCTGCCAGATCTGGAGAGCTATCAGTAAGACACAGCAGGGCCTTCAGACTCCTGCAGGCTTCTGTTTCCCAGTTCTTGTCTTAGTCACTTCCCTTGTTGCTGGTACACAATATCTGACACCCACAAGTTAAAGGAAGGAGGGTTCATTTTGGGGCACGGTTTGTAGAGGTTTCAGTCCATAGTTGGCTGGCTTCTAAGGACAGCATGGCAGAGGGGAATGGAAGAGGAGAAGCTGCTCACAGCACGGTGGACAGAAAGCAGACAGAATGGGAGGAGCTAGGGAGGGAGATAAACCCTTCAGGTCCAGGCCCCCAGGGACCTGCCTTTTCAGATCAGATAGTCAGCAAGTCAGTCAACGATAAAAATTCCATAATCCAGTCGCTCTCACAAGCCCTACTTTTGAGCATGAGGCTTTGTGGGGACACTAGATACGAATTGTAACAGCTCTCTTCTTCCCTTCTGTAACAGGAAGACAGAAGTAATGGGGTGATGTTAACTGCTTTTACTGGCTAGGGTGGTCCAGGCACCTTGTAGTTCCAGGTCTATCTTCTCTTTGCCCCTCAGTCAGCTCAAAGTAATAAGTGGCTGGCTGACAAGGTTGTACAGTGAAGCACAGCAGAAGCATCTGAGTATTTTTCTTTAATTGAAGAGGGAACTTTCACACCAACGTATTTAAATATAACCCAGTAGTTGTATCCCTCCCTCTTCACTACTGGCTAGTGTTTACCCTCCTGCACTTTAAATCAGATACAGATGATAAACTGTGGGCATCAACACTATTGTTACAAGATCAGTGAGATCTCAGTAACAGTACTCTGTGTAAGACAAACACTGTTGAGAAATATTCCCCTAAATCATACCTTTAGGTTAAGGGTGGAGTGCATCCGGGTGGATAACAGACAAAGGGCCAGGAAACCAACTTTATTATTGTTGTTATTGTTTGTACCGGGGATCAAACTCAGCTCCTTGAGATTTCGAGGCAGGTGGCAGCATCACTAAGCTAAATTCTTGGGCCCCAACTATTATTTTAAAAAGATCTTAGTATTTACTAATAAGAGCTACCATAACTATAACTATAATGTCACTGACCTCTGCCCTTTAAAATATGCCTAATTTTTGGAAATGAGATCTAGTGATTTTATTTTGTGCATTTGTAGTTCAGGAGCTAGAAAAGATTCCAAAGTACTAAACTACAGTGTATGTGTTGCCTTTTGATTAGAAGTGTTATGGTTTTTAAATGGCTTTAACTAATCTTTTCAAGCCAATTATTCAAAGAGAAGCTGGAAGAAATGGTTGAAAACTTATATCGAACATGCCAATTCTAAATTAATTTAGAATGGCCCTTAGGGTCTAGGAGAGATAACAAGCATGCAGAAATATTAAAATATTCACAAAAGCAACTACTGGGTTCCTGGTGGAAAAACTGTGATGTACATTAAGGAAACTATGACGTACATTTAAAAATCTCAGATGGAGTCCTGGCATAATTACTAACTGGCTATTTGAACTTAGACAGATATTTATCTTTTCAAAATCTTCTTCCTTGACCTGGAAATGATGGGTTTAGATAAATTTTTAGATCTTGTTCAGCCCTAGTATTCTACAAATTTACAGGGAAGTAGAGCCAATATGAAGACAATTAAAAGTACAGTTTCAGCCCAGGCACTGGGAGAGGACCAGCACTATTGTCCCTTGGTGACCATCTAGCCCAACTCTGTAGTCTTACAGTTGAGAGTTGATGGTCCCCCTGAGAGAGCGAGGGCTGGACCATGTCACGTGATGGACAGAGCCAGTGTTGGAGTCTGGTCTCTTTTCATCCTGACTCTTTGTTTATAACAGCAATGATGAAGGCTTGTAAGACACACGAAGGCTTATAACATAGGAGGCCTTGCTTTACTGTATTTATGGGTATTCATTTTTTAAAAAATTTTTTCATCTACCTTACAAAGTGTGTATACCTATTCTTCCATACCTGTAGGTCTGCATCTGGAGGTTCAACCAAGTGCAGACCAAAAATATTAGAAATAAAATTGTATCGTGTTGGACTCACACAGACTTTTTCCTGTCATGCATCCCGAAACAGTACAGAGTTAGCAACTACTTATCTGGTATTGACTTTGTACTCAATATTGTAAGAAATACAGAGATGATTTGAATTATCCCGAAAGGTGTTGTAGGCTAAGTGCAAACACTACACACCACTTCCTACAAGGCCTTTGAGCATCATGAAATCTGGTATCCATGGTAGGTACCATGGTATCATTCAGAGACGCCAAGGACAGCTACCTCTGATAAGTAGATAAAGCATCTGCGTCTTAGGGACTAATAACCTTGCTGTAGCTTGAATGCCTGGTGTGTGGCAAAACCAAGACAGACAAAACACATTGAAAAAGTTTAAGTTTTGTCTAAATTCTGTTGTCGTTTGCACTACCAATGTACCTGTTGTCCAAAGATGCTTGCTGTAATCCAGGAGGATACAGAGAGTCTCTCTGTGCAGTAGTGAAAGCTCTTCTTTAATTTTTCTGGGCTTTAGTGGAGGGTGCGGCCGTGAGGCTGGAGAGGCTGTGCAGTGAAGTCCTTCCACTTAGATGCTCACTGGCAATCGGAGGCCTCCTGTGCCCTTGCCAATACCCTCGCTTGCTTGTTGAACCTCAAGAATCACTGAGCCAAACAGGGAAAAGCTGCTTACCCGGAGACACCCCAGTTGTTGAGTGAACTCTTCACAGTTAAGTCACAGACCACAGCTAGGTGCAGTGGCACACACCCACAGTAATCTCAGCACTCTAGGAGGCTGAACCAGAAGGGTTGAAAATTTCATTACCCGGAGACACCCCAGTTGTTGAGTGAACTCTTCACAGTTAAGTCACAGACCACAGCTAGGTGCAGTGGCACACACCCACAGTAATCTCAGCACTCGGGGAGGCTGAACCAGAAGGGTTGAAAATTTCAGCCCAGCCTGGGCTACATAGTGAGATCCTATCTCAAAATTAAAAAAACAAAACAAAAGGAGCTGCAGCTGCAGCTTAGTTCAATGGCTTGTACCAAAAGAAAAAAAAAATCACTGATCTGTTTTGAGTATCAAATGAGAATATGAGATAACATTTTTGTTTCCCAAATATCCTTGCTTTAAGTAGTTTTGAAAGGCAGAGCAAACATTGTAAAGATGGATTGGAAATAGTACAAATAAATACCTTGCATAAAAATATGAAGACTGACTTATTGTAGATACACACACATGCACACATAACTAGGCAGTCACCAGAGAAGACCTCCAAATTGAGGCAGGACAGTCGCACAACTATGAGGAGTGCAGAGCCCTCGAGCTCCCCTGTCTGGGAAGGGTAACCTGGGGTATGGGACAGAGCCCAGGCCTTGCTAGGCTGGCAGGCATGAGCTTTGTTGCTAAGGCTGTGTCTCTCACATATGGGGCCTCTGGCTAATCTGTCTCTCCCCCTTTCCAGGCGTGTTTGCCCTCTTCTATATCAGTAACCAGTTTCGGACTTTTCCCTTCTCCATCAAGGACCAGTGCATAATTTTCTACAGTGGTGTTCGTGGAGCTGGAAGTTTTTCACTTGCGTTTTTGCTTCCTCTGTCTCTTTTTCCTAGGAAGAAACTGTTTGTCACTGCTACTCTAGTAGTTATCTATTTTACTGTGTTTATTCAGGTTGGTAACTTTCTTTCCTATTTGAAATAAGTAGGTTCTTTCAGGACCATGTAGTAAATTGATAAAATGCAAATAATGCCACTTTCTCAGATTTTTTAAAAATCTGTGTTCCTTATCAAACTAAATTCCTAAATATTTTTAGGTCATGTTTGTGGTTAGCCTTTAACTTCTAAAATGCATTGCCTTTTAACCAAAACAACACATGAATTAAAATTTTGTTGAGTTACAAGCAAATGATAGCTACTTTACTGTCTAGCTCTGAAAATGAGATTCTAATTAGCATCTTATAGCATAAGTTTTAGCTGGACTTATAACCTAATGAACTAATAAAAGATTAATTTAAAGGATAAGTTAAATTTTCATATTAAAATAAGACAGTTATAGGTATTTTTGTTATGTCATTCAAAACTAAACTTTTGTGCATTCATTCAGTAGAAACTGGAAAAAAACATGTATAACTTGGATATTCTAGTAGTTTGGATAACAGATATGTTCTCTACAGTGACAATCCTCACCTTAACAAAACGCTTTATTTTGTTATTTATAATCTAGGGAATCACAATTGGGCCTCTGGTCAGATACCTGGATGTCAGAAAGACCAATAAAAAAGAGTCTATCAATGAAGAGCTTCATATCCGAGTAAGTTATCTGTGTTGTAAATAATGGATTTATATGATGATCCCATTTATCTCTGAGGATTTATCTCTAGTGCCTGGATGAGACTTGATAGATGTCACCAAGCCTGTGGTTTTATTTCTCCCTAGCCCCACTGACAGCCCTGTCCTAGCTCCCTGTTGCTGTCCTAGGGAATCAGCTTGCCTTACTGGCTTCAAACCCCCAGTTGTATCATCTTACGGTTCTGGAGGTGGAAGTCTGAGATGTGTTTCAGCTGAGGCACTGCAGGGTTGTCTTCCTCTCTGGAGTCTCTGGGGGAGAATCTGTTTCCTTCTATCTTCCAGTTTCTAGAAGCTTCCTGCATTTTCGATGGTGGCCCCTTCCATCTCCAAAGCAAGCACTGGCTGGTCAGGTCACCCTTGTTCTGCGTCACCCTGTCTCCTTCTTCCACACTGAAAGATCTCTTTGGTTATACTGGGCCCACATAGATAATTCATGGTGTTCTCTTCTTCTTAAGGTCAACTGATTAGCAACCTTATTCTCATGGGCTACTGGAATTCTCCTTTGCATAGCAATGAACACATCCCCAATTCTCAAAGATTTTCCAAACAACTTTGGGAGGCCATTATTCTGTGCATACGTTCTGCCCTCTGTTCCTTAAAACTTCATGTCTGTTCCACAGTCCTCTATCCCAATATCCTGGATGTCTCAATCCATTAAAGCACCAACTCCAAATCCAAATCTTATCTAAACTTCTTCATGTGAAAAGTCACAAATTATATCATCTCAAATATCTAAGTCAGGAATGGGTGAAGCTCTGGGTAGAGTCCATCCAGAGGCCCAGCTCCTCTTCATCTGTGAGCCTGTGAAACTCAAGGAACAAGTTAAGTTAAGGAACAACTCAAGGATCCCTAGTTATGCTGGCAGAACAGCCATCAGACACCAGGTATTGGTATTCTCTTTCAAGAGTGGGGAAAATGGAAGCAAAAAAAGAGTCATGGATCAGGAGAACATTACAAAGTTTCTGGGAGAACCATTTCGTTTCAAAGTCAGGAAATACAACCATCTCTTTTGGTGCTTATTTTCTTCCTTTCCCTGGGTTCTGCACTCCACCCTCTGAGCCACACTCTCTTTTTGTGAAAGGTAACGTGCCTTTGCTGTCAAGTGCTTTCATCAGCTGATTTCTCCCTGTAGACTTTTAGGGTCCCACAGCCTTCTTTCATTCTGTTCTTTTCCTCACCTACTTTTATTTCAAGATGGCAGTGTTACCAAAAGCATTCAACAGGGAAGCAGAACCAGCAGAAGATATGAAGAGATCCATGAAATGAATTGGTTTACACGCTTATCTGTGCTGGTTAGTAAGTCCAAATTCCTAGGACAGACAGCAGGTTGGCAGACTGGAGCCCTGGCCCAGACTAGAGTTGTTATCTACTGGTAGAATTTCTCATCTGAGAAGTTTCAGGTCTGTCCAGAAGCCCTTTCAACTGATCAAATCAGACCACTATGTTGATTTAGAATGATCCCTTTAACTTAAAGACAACTGATGATGAATTCTATTTATATCTACAAAATATATCACTGCAACATCGAGTGTTTGATTATATAATGGGGACTTGCCCAGTCAAGTTGACACCTCAAAAGATTTTTTAAGTGACTAAGTTCAAAGTGTTCTTCTTGCTTTTAAACTCATTGTTCCACAGGAACCTGGGGTCTTTTGCTTTTTTTTAGAACTCTTAATAGGGAAAGAGTAGAGGCTGCTACTACTTCTATAAATCTGGCTGAGTAGCAGTTTTTGGTAGAAAAATTCCACTCTGGCAAAAATGAATATGAAGTTGAGCATGGTTCATACCTGTTAGAGTTCAACACAGTTTGAAGGGATGGCTCCCAGGCATAGAAATGAGAATTAGTGCTTGGAAGATGGGAAAATAGATATAGATAGATAGATAGATAGATAGGCAGACAGCCAGATAGATAGAATGAGTTCAGCTCATTTTTGAAAGAGTGTTCTGATAATCATTTCTTGATTGGCATGCCCAAAGGTGTGATGGATGTGTTCAAGCAGTAAACACTTGGGAACATTTCGAATAATTACTGCTCACGAAGGTCATGATTTGAGGGGATGATTGGCCCAGATAATATTTTAGGCTTCTTCTATCCTTGAGGGTGTGTAATGCTGGAGAAAGGTGTACAATTTACCTGTATCTATCTAAATCAGCCCTGAATTATATAACAAAATCATCTAAGGCAGTACATTTCAAGAAATACAAACCAGAAATTTTGAAAGTCATTTGAAAATAGTCAACAGATTAGAATAGGGAGTATTTCAAAGTGTGTAATACTTTAATTGGATTTTAGATTTTTTTCTCTATCTTTATCTTTTTGGATTCATTATTTTAAAATATGCATATGCCTAAGTCTATAGAATTTGAATAGTTCATTCTTTTCTCAATTCTTTTTCTCAAAAATGTTTTAATTATTTGTAGAAGTCAGTGAATCAATTAAGTATTGGAAGAATAGTCCAGTATTTAATCTATTTTGAAAAATATTCAGAAGCAGTAACAATTTCATTGATTTTTAATTTAAATGGTAGAGACTAATTCGTAATTATTTAAAATTTATATTTTCCTCTAATATTTTGTAGATAATTATGTATAAAACACATGTAACATTATTGGCTTGTATGTTGAAATGTAAATATCTAGGTCAAATGATCATATAAAAATGGGGAAAATATTAAAATGAGAATACAAATAAGTTACCTTCTTAGATTTTCTTATAACAGACTATCTGAAGAGTTATATTTTGAGAAACTGTATGTATTCGATACTGATGAGTTCTTTTTTTAAACAATGAAATTAAACATAAAAGTTAATCATTAGAATTTATATCCTTATGATTTCAGAAAAGAGATATTTCCTAGGTCATTCTAGAAAAGTGTTACTCAAAGCCAAGGCCAGCTACATTATTTTCATTGCATGTTCTGTGTATTATCAAGAAGCTTATCTCTGGAGTCTCTCAGTCATGAACCTAAGTTGAATTACTATGAAAGGCAGGATATTTCATTACTACATAAAAGTTAATCATTAGAATTTATATCCTTATGATTTCAGAAAAGAGATATTTCCTAGGTCATTCTAGAAAAGTGTTACTCAAAGCCAAGGCCAGCTACATTATTTTCATTGCATGTTCTGTGTATTATCAAGAAGCTTATCTCTGGAGTCTCTCAGTCATGAACCTAAGTTGAATTACTATGAAAGGCAGGATATATTTCATTACTTAAACAGGCTGACAGAAAAAAAAAAAGATAGCATCAGGGAATTAAGCATTGCTCCTTTGCAAGATGCATTGGTGCTTCTTGTGTACTGCTCAGAGCTCTTCCTTATGCTTTCTCTGGCAGCTGATGGATCACTTGAAGGCTGGCATTGAAGATGTGTGTGGGCAGTGGAGCCACTACCAAGTGAGAGACAAGTAAGGTGGTCTGGTTTCATTACCTAACCAAGGGTATTTGTGTCATGGGGAACTTTCAAGGGGGACCAGGAAGACAAAGGCCCAGGAGCCATGCCACCCAAGAAGCAGCTCGGCACCCTGGATGCTGTTAATTATGGAAATGAGCAGTGTCTGTGGAACAGGCTAGGTCAGGGTTTGGTTTACTTGGGAGAGAACTAGGCCCTGGGTGGATGGGAATAAAGAAGTCATAATTACATTTAAAGGAAGGACAGGGCTTCCCATGATAAAAGAAGCTTAATTGTGCCAAAACTGGCTTCCTGAAGCTTCAAAGGGATTTGGTGACATACTGTGAGTCCTAGGCAGGGATTTTTCCATTGTGGGGGTTTCAAACATGGAAGATCTTTAAGGGTGCTGCCTAAATAAGAATTCTTTAAAATGCCAAAATCTCTCTTCTCCACCATAGCTCACATTTCTGAATTGGTTCCTCTTCTAGACTTTGTCTCAAGGAGAAAGACTGTGGGTTGAGACAAAGGTTGTAAGGTGCCAAGTAGAGGTGTGGGTATGGATAGCCATGAGTATGCTTGAGGTCATTACAAGGGTGTAAAGAGGGGAAGCTGCTGAACACAGGGTTTGGGAAACTCCCAAACTTAGGCGGCTGGTCAGGAAAAGGAGGGCAGAAGGACACAGGAAGAAGCTGTTAAGGAGCACAGAAAGAAGACAGAATTGAGCTAGAAGGGGGAGGAATGACCCAACACATTGAGGGACACAGCTGCCATAGGGTAAGTGCAATGGCAGCCACTGGAGTGGAACAGGGCAAGGTCGAGATAGGCTCAGGGAGAAGGTCAGACGCATTGTGAAGGTAGAAGAGCTGGTGACAATGGATTGAGGAATTAACAGGAACCATGGTCTCTCATCAGAAAAGGCAGAAACCAGAAGGTCAAATGGTGACCCAGCTAGAGCAGGAGCAGGTGTGGTCAAGGCCAAACAGATGGTAGAGCTCAGGAAGTCAGCCTGCCACCCCTCCGCCCCCAAACTTACCTGATATAGTCTGCCCACCTTGGGAACCAGGAAAACAGCCATCAGATGATAAACCAGCAGCCCAGGAAGTTATATTCCCCTCCAGAACATAAAGTAGCAGACAGGTTGCTCCCTGAATGTGAAATGATGATTGGAAATGTTGAAAATTTCAACTCTAAACAAATGGCTGACTCCTGCCATATACATTTTGTGCAGCTCAGTCTAATGGGTTGGCCAGAGGGTTGCTGCAATAATCACCGGCCACCAGTGTCTGGCCTATTCAAGTCTCTTTCATTCAGACTGTAAGGATATGTGTGGGGTTTTTGTTCTTTTCCTTAATTGGCAGGATTCAAAATGAGCCGCAGGATAATAGAGAGAAACTACTGTAACTACTGGGCCATTTAAACTTCCTGGGTTCTAGTTGAATAGGCCTGTATCACTATAAGTGCAGCTGCTCTGTCATGAGCTATTAGCATGACACACAATAATCAAAAACTGCTGCCCCTTATTTCTTCTCTTACAGTGGGACCTGAGCTGAGCTGGGCCCCCTGGCTCCCCACTTACACATACTTTTTGCCCTGATTGCAGCTTGTCCCTTTCTTTTTGTTTAGTTGATTGTCAATATATTCGGGCTAGTGGGCTATTCTTTCCCTATTTAAAAAATGCATAAATACTATGAATTTGTAAAAATGTATTCAAATGCTATGTATTCGAGTCACTCTCTTGATGTTTTTCAGAATAAAGTTAAGTAGTATTTTGTTTTAAGAAAAAATGCAGACATATAGACAATATACAGAGATGAACGATTTCCAAAATGTTGATTTTTATTTTTAGGTTTAAGAAGTTTGATCATAAATACTTACGGAAAATCCTAATCCGAAAAAACCTACCCAAATCAAGTATTGTTTCTTTATACAAGAAGCTGGAAATGAAACAAGCTATTGAGATGGTAGAGACTGGCATACTAAGTTCTACAGCGTTTTCTGTACCATATCAGTAAGTCATGTCTCCTTTTTGATCTGGACATTCAATGTCAGAATTCCAAGGAACACCAACTCATGGTTCCATTAAAAGAAGCACCAGGGTGGAAGAGTGTGCTGGTCAGCTTTCTGTTACTTTAATGCAGACCTAAAATAATCAGCTTATGAAAGAAAGTTTGTTTTAGCTCATTGTTCTGGAGGTCCCAGTGGCCCAATGTGTCGGGCCTGTGGCAAGGACAGCACATCATGTGAGGAGTGAGTATCAAGGTGCATGCTCACATTTCCAATCAGAAAGCAGGGGGAGAAAGGTACAAACTGGAACAATAACCTTCGAGAGCATATCACCAATGACCTAAAGACCTCTCCCAAGGCCCCACCTTTTAAGGTCCACTGGAACCTCCCAGTACCACTACCCTGGGGACCCAGTTCTTACAATGGGACCTTTGCAGGCCATTCACCCAAGTCACAACAGGGGATAGTGTGGTAGCCAGAGGTGTGGCAGGTGTAGGGGCAATTTAAAGTGAAAGCTAAGCCATGCTGAAGGCAAGGCTCGATGTTCATTTTTGAGGTTTGCCTTCAGTCTGTGTGAGACCAGCTTGGAACGGGAGCAAGGAGTTGCTGGCTTCCTGTTGAAAATAAGACTATAGGGAGTTGATGCGGAGGCAGGATGTAGGGAGAGGTGGTGCTTGTATATAAATCCATCATTACATGATGATTTCCTTTGAAACATGGTGTTTCTCCTGGACCATCTGCTAACCAATTGCCTCAAAGCTGGCTAGATATTTTGTAAAGCTGTTTTAACTCCCTGACATTTAACAAGAGTTCCTTTAATATCACAAAAATTAATTTACCTCCTGAAGATACCCAGTTTTCTTCCAAGGGATGGCTGATGAATTGTGAAAATTAATCACCATCTATATTTAGGGAAAGGAACACCAGCCCCCGCCATTCTGTCATCTACAGTAGGTAAAGATACTTGATCATGAGCCTCAGTTATGTCCTCACATTAGCAAAGCCAGTGAGAGAAGGGCTAAGAATAGGTAGCAATAAAATTGTTGCTAATGCCTGGGTGTTATTGCTGAGATAACACCTTCCTCCCTTACCTGTTAATGAATCAGAAACACCATTAGCCATCTTCCCAGGCCTGAGGAACAGCTAACCTAGCATCGCTGAGGGTATCTGAGTATAAATAAAAAGCCTTTTGCCTTACTTCTCTGTGAGATTGCTTTTGTGGCTTGTTTATTTGTTTTGTGCTGCCCATTACACTGCTCTGAGGAAACTTCTGATACTAAAATGGTAAAGCACTAACAAATATTTATCAGCAATGCTGTACTAAGCCATAGCGGAGCCAGAGGCCACAGGAAAAATCAGGAATGCTGATCTTGTTTTCATTTAAAATGTTGACATCAAAAAAATTTTTTTTTGCATTTTCTGAAATACTGCCTTAAAATCTTACTTAATGACTGATTATCTTGCACCCCTTATTCTTCGCACCGTAGCCTCTGTCCTGCTCATTAGATGCCAACTGTGGGCCAAACAGGGAAGCGGACATAGTTTCTGCCCTCATGGACTCTGTACTCGGGCAGGTCATGGCACTAATAAAAAGGTAACACAGTGTGCTATTTTAGATAGGGAGCAGCACCCTAATTTAGGGTTGAGGCTCACACTGTCTCCTGGTGTCCGTGTGTGACCTGTTCACTGCAGGAAGACTTGAGCAAGTGTGCCCAAGGAGGGCTGGACAACTCCAGACAGGTGGACCATTAGGAGCTTCCTCAACTGCCATTGCCCCTCAGTGATGTAATGTTCTGTCTAGGGCTGCAGGCGCTTATCTCAATGAAAATCAATCTCTCATGTGCTCAAACATATTTTGAACCTTGGAATTACATTGCATTGACCATAATTAACTGTCCCAATTTCTGACCTCAAGGCAATGTTTAAAACAGCTTTGTTTGGAGTCCCCTCCAACCCCTGGTTTGAGTCAATTATTTCTTCAGAAAATAATCCAAGATAAGCAATAGATTCTTGCATGTAAGGGGTTTTCCCCTTCCTATAGCCTAAACTAGTTAGTTAACTGGGATGAGAGAGAAGATTTTTTAAAGCTGATATTTAATACAAGTTTAGTATTTAAACTGCATGTATTTGATCTCATCAGAGATCTGTAGGACGTCAAGCAAAAAGGAATTCCTTTCCTAAGATCAAAGCAGGTAATTTCTTAAAAAACAAACCTTCATACAATAATAGGAATAAGAAATGTGTACTCTGTTCACTTTTTATTATTCTGTATGAGATATAACAAAAAATGCACATATATTTTCTTCTTTAGAAGTTTAAACAATTGTTTTACAAAAGATTTAGCTTTCCCAGTTCTGTGACTTCTAGAAGATTGATCACCAGAACTGTCTACGGACAGCTCAGATAATGTGAATTTTTAGGTAGCCCATTGTTTTCACATGGATTACCTACTTGAACTTCAAAATACCCCTTATGGGAGGGGTAAAATATATACTTTATTATTTCAAATATGAATCGGCTCGTCTCACCTATGAGTAGTAAGATGTCAGAAATTATCAGAGGATAGAGGCTCAAAATGATTAAGAGCATCAAAATTGAAAAAAAATTGGATTAATTTTATAAGACTACAAAAGTATTTATAAATTGACCAAGATAACAAACTACAACCATACAACCTTATTCTATTTTATGTCAAAACTTCCAGATAACTTTAATATGCCATTTTTAAAGAAAAGCATATAATAATTTCATTTTAGTTCAAAACTTTTCTAATTGATCATGAATTGAAAGGTGTATGAGGTATAATAAAATAAGGTGGGTATTTAGATTGTAAAAAATGCATTATAGAAAAAAGGCATATTGACACGAGTCCCCTTCAAAATCCTTCTCATTTCAAACACACTTTTCCCCTTGATCTTGCCTCACTCTGAAGCAGCTCTGGAGTCTTCATTCCTGTGTGTTTTTAGTTGCCCTGTCATGGCTGCCATGATGTTCTGAATCAATTCAAAACATTTCCCTTTCTTGGTCATTGAACCTTGGGGAAAAGCCAGACTATGGTGCATAAGGTAGATGAGGACACACTATGAAGTTTTTACTCGACAGAAGTTGCCTTTAATATTTGATCAATTAAAAGTGATCTAAAATATGGGGAAATGTTTAAATTTTAAAAAATTATTACAATAAAAGACACATTGTCATTAATCCTCCTCAGGATACTGCCTCCCTGCTTTGAACACACATGGAGTGTAGTATCCCAGGAAGCCAGGCTGTATTCATGGTCACACAGCACTCATTTTAAAGGTGGGGCATCTTGGTGCCCTCTGTAAAAGGACACAAGGTGGCCATGCACAGAATGGAGCCATGATAGACCAGGCATTAGGTCATCCGTGTGTGCTCTTCCCCAGGACTTCACACTGAGGCATTGAAAGAAAACGTGTGCTAAGTAAATCAAGGGATAATGTTTCATCTTTGGGAATCCATACTATGCATGAATATAACATCTACTAGATTTTATCATTGAATTATGAAAGCTTCCTTAGTATAGTATGTCACCAAGAAAAGGAAGGAAGGAAGGGAGGAAGGAAGGAAGGAAGGAAGGGAGGAGGGAAGTTAGTTCTGAGAAATGTGTACCTTGTACTCAAGTACATTTGGATTTGGATTTTTCCAGTTTGTTTTAATATCTATGAAATTATCATAGAACTCTTATTTAAAATGACAGAGATTTCCTTTATGTGCAGTAAATGAATGTTCTAGGGGCTAGCCTTTCAGTTTATCATTTGACTTCTTTGAACCAGGCATCCTTACCAATTCAGTTTTCTAAGAACTGTATCTTCCCTGGACTTGTGCTGTGAGTATCTCAGGGCTGACTGTGATTGAGGAATGGCATGACAAAAACCCAGGTCCTGACTCTCTCAGGGAAGCCAGGCCACTGTGATGCTGCTTCAGATTCTCAGTGTGCCCCCTGCGGCCCAGGGCTATGTGACCCCATCCAGATACCAGTGCTACCCAGGCCAGCCAGTAGCCCAAATGGCCTTTAATGAAGTGGGTTCTTCCCAAAGTGGTCAATTCCAAACATGGGCAGAGTTCTAAGTTAGATCTACTGCACTATCAAGTTTCACTTTGCCACTCCCTTTATCAGTGGTTTTGCTATTTGTTTTCTGATGAACAGAACATGGCACTATTTGGCTAACTGGTATATGTGCTTAGCAATACCTTACACTCACCAGAATGAAGGAATGTGCTCAGATGGTGATGAAAGTGTGTGGGCACATCTAAATAAGAATGAATTTTATTTGAAGGACATGTACACAGTTGGGTTGAAACGCCCTGATAATAATGTTTACATCACCAAGGGTGGTAACTGCAGATCAACAGAGGTGACATTTGCAACATTTGTACGCAAGGGAAATTTTGATTCCAGTAATTTTGGAGGCAGGGCATTCATTAGTCAGTGTACAGATGGCATCACTAAGGAAAATCCTGGCATACTGTGATATCCAGTATCCAAGTCTTTTCAGTGTTTTACCAGTTATATATTACTTTCAAAATGACCTAACTACTTATGGCTGTATTTCTACTAATGACTGGGGAAAATACTTAAAGGGTAGTCTGTATGGAAATTAATAATTACTCACCTTTGTGATCAGTAATCCTAAGAACATATGCAAGCAGATATTAAAGCCATCAGGGCCCTGAGGCACTCAAAATAGCTGCAGTTGGAAGAAAGAAGCAAGAGGCAAGAGAAACCATTAGAGTTTGCAGCATTATGATCATATGAGAAAAAAAGCTTAATTTTCTTTAGTTCTTTCTTTTACCTTCTTATGCTCTATTGTGACCACACATTACTCATCAAATAAAAGGTTTTTTAAAGGGACAGCCACCAGATTGTAATCAAATACATTTGTCACATGAGAATTCTCCCCACAGCAGCGTCATGACTTTGGAATCTCCTGGGGACAATTGTGCATTGACTGCTAACCTGGGCCCAAGGTGGGCTGGAAACTCCTTCTGGGACTCACGGTGCCCAGGGCTTCTGAGCCAGGATGACCTTCATGGTGTAAATGGCTTAATTTTCTTTACAAAATGTGATTCCATTTCTTAAATGATTCCTTAAATCATTTCCTAGCCGAAAATAAGGTCCTCAAAAGTTATAATTCCCAGAAAAATGTACTCATACACCTTTGATTTCTCTTAGATCAGTTTTGCCCAACATGTGGTTCTTGGACACATTTTGGTTGTCACCTGATGATATGACTAAGTGAAGAACTAACAAGGACGTAACTTTTGAGGAATTTTATTGCTGTTTAATGTAACAGTATTTGAATTCCATTTTATGGTGCTGTTTTCTAATAACTGGGTTTTTAAATACTTTATCAATATGTCAATTCATAAAAGATTTAGAGGGGAAAAATTACTTGGCTGTCACCCCCTTAACTATGTAAAAGCCCTAAGGAACAAAACGTGTTCTGATGTTTGGTGTTTTGTGTGCCATTCATCAAGAAGGAAGACTAATGATGGCTTGCCTCCAATTGTGCTTCCAGGGCCCAGAGGATACAAGCGACCAAGAGGCTCTCCCCTGAAGACGTGGAGTCCATGAGAGACATTCTGACACACAACTTGTACCAAGTTCGACAAAGGGTGCGAGGAGCCACCTGCCTTGATGCCCCACAGCTTTCCCTGGGCACCAGTCCTTTGAGAAAGTTGTCCTTACTCTCATTAGCCTCTCCAAGCAGCCTCTCCCCGAACAAGTCCTCTCTGCTTGGCTTGGAGAACACCAAGTTCATTGTTAGGTTTCTGCTGTAAAATTGACACCAGTGGCATAAAAAAAAGATGCAAATCCAGTTGCCATCTCTAGGGGTCAGGCTGCTCCAGCCCTGCAGCCTGAAGATTTCTAGCAGCTGCAGCCTCAGATCTCCCTCTCCTCCAAAGAGGGACCTGCTGCCATGGTTACCATTGCACCACAGGAGAAGGATGGCACCAGGGTGCAAAGGCTGTCATGTTGTCTCAGTAATTTTGAGAGAATAAGATTGCAAAATTGCCATATTAACAGTATGATGCTGAAAGTAAGAATAAAAGGAGACAAATGAGGTGTCTTAGTCACCTCTTTTGGAAATGGGCATGGAGTCTCTACTTGGCCTTAGTGCATACGAGAATATTTCTTAGGATAATGGATGAGTCTCTCTGGAGCTTTGAGATAAATGACACTTGAGTTGATGCCATCTGTTTAGGAGTTTGGTCGTTTTTTTCCCCCTTAGTTTGTGGATCCTGATTCTTGGGTATGACTATGAGTGTGGGAAGGCCTTTGCTTTTGTGACTGTGTTACATAGATCCTAGTGTAGTGGGATTTTAAACAATTATCTACAGCAAGTGCTTCCTTTTCAAGTTAAAACATGGAGGTTTGTAAGCCTGAGGAGCCAACTCATTCAACATCACAAAATAAATGTAAGCTAAGAGCACAGCTCTCCTGACCATCTGCCTGGTGTTCTTTCCATGACTCCAGACTTACATAATACATAGAAAGTAACTTCTGGCTTTCTGTTTCAGTGAGGATTAAGGAACTGTGTCCGTGCGGGGCTCCACATCAGCTGAGAGCCTGCTCAGAGTAAATTCCATGGCTCTAGAGCTTTCCAAGTGAAACTGTTTCAGAAGACTATTGCATCCTGCCTTAGATACAGAGATAAGAGCTTCCTGGTTTGAAGAATGCAGGTAGCTTAGTGACAGCTAGGGAGAGGAGTAGGAGGCACTCAGCCTTTTGCTTAAATTGATGAGTTCAGGCAAAAGTCTGGAGGCAGAGGTAGAGATCGAGAAGCTGCAGTCCAGTCCACAGTCAGGTCCCTCTGCCCTCCATGCAGTCGCCCAGGTGGCCCCTTTCTTCTTCTCGCCTACATTGCCTCCTTCACTGTCCTCCAGAGTTCTCTTCCTTCTGAGTTCCATGGCATCTTCCTTTTTATTGTCCCAGGTCTGAGTGCGTTGGCCTCTTGTCACCGAACGGGCTCATTGCTGGGTACTGGTGTGAAGCTGGTGAGGACAGCAGGCACCTCTCTTTCCACTTTTGGTACCTGCAGGGGAGGCTCACCAGTGCCACGCCTCCTTGGCATTCTCTTCTAACTCCAGCTTTACAAGGGTGGCGAGACTCTTCTCTTCTACCATGATCCTTTTGGTCTCTTAATGGAAAAAGTCACCCTGTAAATGCAATGGTCCATTCTACTGTTTCTAGAGGAAATCTGTGTTTTTAAGGATGTGTGTTTTTAAGGCTTCTATATGGTGTGTAGAAGCCACCCACTGTCCTCGGGTCTGGGCCATCAGAGGTTGGGGTACTTCTTAGTGTCAGTGTCTTACAAGGGTCTCTCTGGGGAGTCAGAAGCCACCTGAGCCAGTATTTGCCACTGGTTGAGCCTAATCCACATTGGTCTGAAACTCAGCTGACCCTGGCCATTCTGTCTGAAGTCCCTGTCCTCAGCATGTTCCCAGTGGAAGGTACAGAGCAGGAACATTGAGGGGCAGTCCCCGAAGAAGCCCTGTGGAATATGGAGGGACAGAACACGAGAAATACTCTGCTGAATTTACAAGAGAAGAAACTGAACTTAGCCCAGGTTCTAAGAGGAGGCCAGAGACTGATGGAGTGGCCTGAAGTGGCCAAGGTGCCAGGATCCTTCGCAGAAAGTCCACATGCCTGCAAGGCAGTGTGTTCCATTTCTGTACTCCTCAGCCACTGACTAACTCACATATGGGACACACCACAGAGCGATGCAAAGTTCCTTCTGCAGACCCTGAAACCTAGTGGAGCAAACAAGCTCTGATCAGCCACCAAACCCTTTATGAGACTGTGGGATGAGTGGAACCCAGAACCTACCTTGTGTGCAGGCTTCCTGCAAGCAGGCAAAATAGACAGGGGTGGTGTTCAGTTGTCCCTGCAGGGTGGAAGAGAAGACCAAATGTTTCTTAAATGCAGCCTCCCCCAAGTGCACACAATCCCTCTGCCATTGAACTGATGCCCTGTGACTTCCTGGGCAGGACATCGCACTGGGGGAATCCTAACCTCTTCTCCATTCTGTTCTCTCTACAGACCCTGTCCTACAACAAGTACAACCTCAAGCCCCAGACCAGCGAGAAGCAGGCAAAAGAGATCCTGATCCGCCGGCAGAACACACTGAGGGAGAGCCTGCGGAAGGGCCACAGCTTGCCCTGGGGAACGCAGGTGCGCGACAATGCAAGTGTCTGTCACTGGACACCTGGGCCTGTCCCTGGGCAGGGCCTCCTGAGGCAGCCAGCACCTGTGCTTAGACGTCCTCCACCTTGCAGCCTTGCTGCCTCTTCTGCAGGAAGGCAGGGCTGGTACAGATGCTCATGTTGGTGCTCAGCTCCGTGGGGCTGTGGGCTTGCACCGAGAAGTCCCTGCTAGTCCATTTACACACAGACGAGACTGAGCCTTCTGCTTCCTCCAAATCAAACCGTGAGCCAGTTATCCAAGGAGGGGCTGCAGCAGGACTTGACTTCTTCCTTCTCTGGCCTTGGGAAGGTCTACCTCACTCTGTATCTCACTTCTATTACCCACAGGTTGGTGCCAAAAACATCCGCTACCTGTCCTTCCCCTATAGCAAGCCACAGTCCGGGAGGAGAAAAGCAGGCGCTGTGGAGGCCACAGGTAACGCGCGTGCGCACTCTGCCCCTTCCCGGAGCTGCAGGGCCCATACCCCCGGGTTGCGCAAGGCCCCGTTAGAGAAACTTTAACATTGGGATGTGATCTTCAGTGAGGTGTAGAGGCTTTCGTATTTTGGGGGACCTCTGCCTTTCTTCTGTGGGATTTTCTGTTTCCCCATATATTTTTTATTTGATTGTTGATCTTCTTTAAATGAATTTGAAGAACTCTATCAAGTAAAGATTTCCATTCCTCTCCTATGTGTTGCCGATCATTTTTCCTGAAGTTTTATATTAAGCCTTTACTTTTAAAGATATATTTGCTATTAGAAAAATGTTTTAAATCAGTTCTGATTTTTATGGAGAAAGGAGCTAATGATTTACTCAATTATTTTTGCAGAGGACTGTAGTCATTTAGTTTTCCCATATGAATTTCAACCCATCAGAGATGTAGGGATTAAAATAAAGATAATTTTCTGATGGCTGAGCTCCTGTCTCAACAGTCTTTTCCTCCAAGATGAAACATCACCTTTGCTGTACTGGGTCATTCAGGGTGAAGACAGTTTTGAGCTTAATTCTGTTTCATTAACCAAGCTATCTACCTATCTAATAGTTATTGCCTATCTTTAATAGTATTTGAGATTATCAATGAGCTATTCTACAAACAAAGCAAGCTAAACCAAACAAGACAGCAACAAATACAGGATTGGGATAGACTGACTCAAAGGTATTCTCCTGGTAATAATAATCTAGGGTTATTTTTGTCATTTGAGTGAATAGAAAGGAAGAAAGAAAGAATCACTGATTTTTCTCCTGAGATGACCCAGAGCAAGCTCATCTGAGCAGTGATGTAGAAATCTTAAACAAGCATTACATTAAAAAGTAGAACATCGGAGAGATAATAGACCTTCGAAAATGGGCTTACCCCAGAAGGTGGGGGTTGTTCTTTGAATGTTGGGCAAATCTTGTCACTTAAATTGGGTGCAACTTTACAAGTCACCTGCACAGGCCTCTTCTTTATGCTAAGATCTCACCTGACCACAACACAGAAGGAAAGTAGGGGACTGTGGCCAGAATCTGTCCCCTTTACACTTGGCGAAATGAGTCAAGGGTGAAGGAACTGGCTGTGGGGACAGAAGCATTCAGATCACTGTTCCCTTAGGCAGTGTTCCCAGCAGCTGGGGACTCCAAGTAAAAGTCAGGCTGAAACAGCTCACCTCTGTCACACAGCAGTGCCCTGTGATCTTCAGTGTAGCGTTGGCCTTTCAGACACACCAACTTTGTGCCTAATAGCTCATGTCCTTGGCCAGTTAGTCTGATCTTGCGACAAAACATTGTCTTGGTCACCCAGGGGGACCGGCTCGGTACACAGGTTTCAATGCATTACCTTGTCTCTATGACATGGCACATACAGTTTTTGTCTCACAATCCCTTAAAATAGTGGCCTTGAAAGGGAAAATATGCTGCTAGGAAAGCTGAGGGTAAGCAGTAGGATCCCAGAGAGGGCTTGGCTTTGCCCTGAGTTCTTGCCCCCTGGACAAGAAGCCTAAACTCTGACACTGAGTCTGATTTTGTCTTCTTGTTACACTGTCTTTCCAGATGATGATAGCAGTGACCTTGGATTTCCATCCATCATGTTCAGTGCGCACCCCCAGTTGGGGTCACTTCGGGAAAGCCGGCTTGCGCAGGAGGTGATTCCCTTGAAGAGCTTATCCCAAAGTGAGATGGCAGACCCCTTTAGAGATGGCAGAGACCCTGGCCCAGGCAAAAGGGCGGTGGTCCGACCCAGGCCACTGTTCCTCGCCTTGGATGAGGAGTTTGAGTCCGGGGAGGACAGCGAGGAGGAGGCCTCAGCCCTCAGGGCCAGGTGGATAGCAGAGCGTGGACACAGCAGGGAACACTACCAGTCCTATAGCCCTCTGCTCCATAGGAAATAGTGCTGCTGCCCACGTGACTATTTCTGCTTTCTATGTGTTCATTTTCCACTGTCATGAAAGAGGGATTTTCAGATGGGAGCTATGGAGTTTGCTTTCTTGAAGCTACTGGACATGCGTCTCTAAGAGCCTGGAAGCTGTTTGGGAAATTGGAACTTGCAGAGGGAGCTGCATTCTGAACTGGATAGTGAAGAAACAGAAGTCGATTCCCAGACCTTCCTAAGATCACCTCCCTCAAGGCCCACTAACCATCTTGTGTACTGAGATACAGGTGTGATAGGTTTTCGATTCATGTTGACCACATGTATGTGCAACTTAAAATCAAGTGGAGCAGGGAAGGGCCTTTGCAATCTCCTGGCTCAAACCCTGTGTTCATGGATAAAGACACCGTGGCCAAGGCCAGGGTGAGCTGTTCTCCCTCCAGGGAATGCATTTGTTTTTGATTTTGATATCAATATGCAATATTTCTATCTCAAAAGAAAGGTGAAGATTTTTATAACATTGCTGCATCCCGTCAGCAACACTGGTTGATGTGACGCACGCTAATGGACTCAGCCTGTTCTATTTTGATTTTCAAAACAATTATTAGAAACACAACGGCCACAGAGTTTAACATGAGCTACAGGTGTTCATTAGGTGTCCATAGTAGTGTGGAATATTTTGCTGAGTTGGGAGCTACTCTTCAAAGTGTTTTCCTCCTTGATTTTCCTAGATTTTATCCTGAACCGCACACTCCAGCTTGCCAACTTTACCGAATGACTTCACCTTTCCTCCTTCTGCCCTCTCTTTCTCCTTCCCTTTCTTTTTCCTTTCCATTAATAATCAGGTCTTGGGCTTTATGTAATGTGCCAAATTAATAATATGATAATTAACCACATATCCTTTTGCCACATTACTGTGTCTGGCATCTCCACCATCCTCAACTGATTTTTAATCTTGCCCATATTTAAAGGCCTCAATCAAATGTTCCCTAGATCTGCCGTAGCCCCTTTGTCCCATTGATTTTGGGGGTGGGCCACGGACTTATCTGTGACTATCACTTCTGCATGAACATATATGTTTATTCCGGCATCCCAGGGTGAAGGACAAGGGACAGTTTGTTCAGTTAAAGTCTCAGATATATCTCTGTTGTGACATCTATCTCTTTGCATTCCCCTTTGTGTACTTTTTTAGGTTTTATCAATTTTTTCTGTGTTCAGTTATTATAATGTCTTGCACTTGGTGACTGCTTATAAATGTGATCTGCTGCTAACAGTGCAGAGCTGAAAGGGATGTTGGGGAAGCGGCTTTATTTTCTAGATGTCAAAAATGAGGGCCTGGGATATCACCAGATGCCAGCTTGGAGTCTGCTGTCCCTTAGAGGGAAGAGCACTTGTCTTGGGGGTACAACCTGTGAGCAAACCAAAGACATTTGGCTTTGCCGAAGATTTACATGTTGTGACTGATTCTCACCCAGCTGCTGCAGTGGAGGAAATGGCAAAGGAGCTCATTTGTTGATCACCTTCTGAAGCTGTAATATAATGCTGCTTCTCATCTAAATATTTTTATTTTATTTTATTTTCAAAAATATTTTTATTTTAATAAAAACTATGCACTACCAGCTGGGTGTGGTGGCACATGCCTGTAATCCCAGCACTCGGGAGGCTGAGGCAGGAGGATCGCTGTGAGTTCGAGACCAGCCTGGGCTACATAGTGAGTTCCAGGTCAGTCTCAAATCTATAGCAAGATCCTGTTTCAAAACTGCAAAACAACAACAACAACAACAAAACCCCCAAAACTATGCACTACCAAATAACAGTAATCAGCTAATCAGGGATAGAGGCACATGGGCTTTTCTTTTATTTAAACAAATAAGCAAGCAAAGCAAAACAGAGAACTTCATGCCTGGGGTGGGCTTGGGGAGAAGACTCAGTGGATTTTTACCCCAACATTAGTGGAGGTGCAGCAGCCTTGAGCTGCCATTACAATTCACCTTCCCAAAGCCACATACAAAACTGATCTTGGGAGGTGAAGGGTGTCTACTTCCCTTCCTGGTCTCCATCCATGTAACAGCATGAGCCTCAATTACAAGGATCCTTCAGAGAGTAGCCAGCAAGGACTGGGAGTTAGAGGAGTCCACCAGAGTCTCCTGAATTGCTCTCAGATGCAGATGCTGTTAAGACGGGAGCTGCTGGGATTTAGAGACAGTTTATTAATAGAAGCTGCTGGGAAAGCTCCTCGCTGGAACTAGGAACCACCCCCCACCGCAGAGTGTAAACTCAGGCCACAGAGAGATGGAGGGCCAGAGTGACAGACGGGTGAAGGTTTGCACTTGGGACTCCTCGCATGGGACAGTCTGAGGCCAGCAGGGTACTTGCCTGCATGCCTACCAGCCTGTTCTTCTGTACCACTGTGCCCACCCATGGGGACACATTCCAATTCCCCCCAGTGGAGACCGATTTTCCTTGTATGCACGCAACAGCAGTGAAGTTAACAATAATAATAAATGCAGCAATAATAGCAATGTATGGCAAAAATTTTATTCAAAAGGTACCTTTTGTTTATTTCTGGAGTTTTCCATTGAATATCTCTGGATGCAGCTGACCTTGGGTAACAAACAGAGGCAGTGGATTCGAGGATGAGAGGAACACTGTACTGCACAAAGGAAAAGGAAAAGGTCACTGATGGCTTCACTTAGCCCACCAGCTGGTTTCTTAATCTTGTGTCCTGCTCACAGGACATGGCCAGCGTGACCAAGGGAAGGATGGTCCCCATGCCCAGTGATCCAACACTCACACAGTCAGCCTATATTTTAGCAAGAGAAACCTGGGGCCTTGAGTGCTCCTCCACCCAGCAGGAGTGTGACCCTGAAGTCCCTCCTAAATGTGGGCCAGTTGAGGTCCCTGAGTGGCTGAAGCTTTGTCAGAACTCCGAAGGAGTGGTTTCTTTGTTTAGGGCTTCGAGCACCACTTCAAAGCAGTGTGTGGTCAGGTGTGGTCATAGCTGTAATCCAGCTCCTCAGGAAGCTGAGGCAGGAGGATCAAGATTGTGAGTTCAAGTCCAACTGGGCATTTTAGTGTAGTAATTTAGTGTTGAATTGCCACCTAACTTTCTGATAGAGTCACTGCTCCTACAAAAGAAGGGCCATGAAGGCAGGGGCGTGGGCAGAACTTAGGTCTACTGCCGGGAGTGACCGTGGTGGGTTCAGCCAGTGGAGAAGCCCCTACGTTTGCCACACTGACCATGTAGATTTATTAAAATGTTTTATTTTTGTGAATCCATATTTGCAATACACAACGAGTGTTTTCCTCGTGAGAGTTGGTACATGCAAATAGCAGCTGAATTCATTTTGTGTCTCCTTTCTCCCCCTCCCTTTCTGCTCCCTCTCTCCATTTCTTGGTCTCCTTCCCATTTAAGAAAGGCCAATCTCTCTGTTTCCTATTATCTAGCTTCTATTTTGCTCTTTATACTTCTGTAAGAGAAACCATGAGATACTGAAGCTTGTGTGTCTGACTTATTTAACTTAACGTTATAGTCTCGAGGTGCAGCCATTTCCCTATTAATGATTCAAGTTTATCCTTCTTTATAGCAGAGCAGTGCTCCACTGTGTGCACATTTTATTTATCCATTCATCTATTGATGGACATATAGGCCACTTTCAAGATTTAGCTCTTATGAGTTGTGCTGCTGTTGACACGGGTATGCATGGGTCACTGTAATGTGATGTCTTTAGCTCTAGATCCTGTCAATTTTAAATCCTTGTGGTTAGTTCAGAACTCAGGCTCTGGAATCTAACCACTTTTAGCCATGAGACTTCAGGCAAATTAATTATCATCCCTAAGCTGAAATGGACCAATAGATAAAATAAGGTAATCATTTAAATCTACCTCATAGAATGATTGCGAAGATACAATGAAATAATATATGTAAATTTTTTAATTAATTAAGTTTATTGGTACATTTTAAGTAAATTTTTTAGGTTGGTGTTTAGGTTAGAGTTTGATTGCTTTGGCTATAATTGCTTAAGTGAAAGTATATGGATTCAGGAAAGAGGAAAATCATTGATGTAATGCCATGTGAAGGAGTGTAAGTAACTAAGGCCTGTGACTTTTCTGACTAGTAACTGATGACAGAATAGAGGGTATTTGGGGGGACTAGAGAGGGAGTGTGGCAGAAATTGAATGCCCTGAAAAGCATGGATCGTCATGGTATTTGGTGGTACTATCCAGTCAGAGCTCATCTGTCTGAAACAAGACCAGAGACAGCCTGAGTATGGATTATTCACATTTTTCAAATAAAGCACAATGGCATCTCACTCATTTTCGCATCATTCCCTCAACATTATTGCATTCTCTAATTTGAGGGATCATTATCCTTGCATACTATCCAATCCTCATTTACTCTGAGACCGGAAACCTACAGGCCCTGCCATCTTGTGATGAGCAACCTGTTAGTAAAAGGGGAAACTTATTTTTGTTGGGAGAATAAAACTCAATGGTGTTTAACGTTTCAGCTAGCAGTTTTAGCTTGGAATTTCTAGAACAGGGCTTCTCTCCAAAGAGAAAAGTTGACTGTCTTTAGAAAGATAAATGGTTAACAGCTTTTAGCAGAGGAAGAGAAAAAAAAAAAAGCCTATAGTGTGTTTCATATGTTCTAAAATTAGGCAAAGTAAATTTCTAAAAAATAAAGTCAGTGCATATGTTTGTGTTCTATCAGTTGTTTTATCCACAAATAAAGCACTTGGTTTCTTGCAGTTTTACATTTTTCCTTGTATATAAATTCTGTGAAGTGTCTTATTTCTAACTCCTCCTGAGAAAACACAGCCATGTAGCAGAAAGCACTTTTCAGACACCAGCCACTGCCAGCTGTTAGTGAGGACAGATGTCAAGGGGTTCAAAGAGATGCCTGCGAAGGATTGTGCTGTAATAGCTGGTGATGTGCCCTTTCATCTGAGTGCTATAATCAATTTAATAAATCCATTTTCTCTCTGAGACTCCAATGAGCTTCCCAGGCAGGGGTCCCCAGGTAAGTATGGCAAGTTAGAAACTAACACAGCTACTGTCCAGCATTCTGTGAATTGAGGTTTATTTGGCTGAGTAACTAAAACCATACTGTGGACTGAACTGAGATGGTCAACGCTCTCAGAGACTTAGTCATACAGATTTTCAATCACAGTGGCCAATCCTAAAATGAGCACATTCACTGTGCACTTTTCAAAAGAATATTAAAGAATATTTACCCATTTATGGGTACATTTTAAGGATATACTCCTAAGTGAGATAAATAAGTCACACATATGCAAATACCAAATAGTTTCTCTGGTGTGAAAAACTAAAATAGTACTCAAGATCCTAATGGGACAATTAGCAAGGTGAAACAGGAAGAAAAGGACCAAAGGTGTAGGGACAGTGAGAAGGATAGGGAAAGCGGAATAAGGGAAAAGGAAAAAAATATGAGAAAATGTAAAAATGGAATTAAAGTGTTTGAAGGTGGGGAGGGGAGGAGGGGGTGAAAGGAGAGTGGAGACAAGGGGAAAAAATGAGAACCAAGACCTGCCATGTAAAGGTACAAGATCCCAGTAATGAATGTAACTGTACTGTCTACGTATAATGTACCAATAAATTCAATTAAAAAAGAATATTTACCCATTTATGTATTTATTTATGCTTTTATTTTTGTTTTTGGTTGGTGTGCATTTGCAGCCATGATGATTTCATTCATCAGCAGGGATTGGTGCATGTATATAACACATCTTGATTCTTTTTATGTCCCCTTCCCTTTTGGGAGTCAGTCCTGAATAGAACAGTCCTGGTCTATGCATATAGAGCTCTTGCTAACAGTGTCAGGCAGAGCCAGGCACCACACAAAGCACTTTCCATACACAGAGCTATGATCACCCCATCAGAAACAGGAGGCAGCATGAGGGGATTGAGGATCACGTCCCAGGTGTCCCTCCCCCATGGGACCTTGGACCCAGGTATGTTCTGCCATCCTTGGCTTCCTCCCATCTTAGAACTGGGAATTTAATAAGTGACTCAGAGCCACACACAATTCCCTTTCTCCTTTGGGAAAGATCCAGTAGGAGGAGACAGAGAAGCTACATCCTGTCCAGAGCAGCAACAAAACAAACCACTCAAAATGTACAAATAAATACGGATGATCTTAAAGTTTTGAGACCTATTTTTATAAACTTAATGGCCAAAGTGAGATGATGATCTAACTGATCATCACCAATGACAAATGACAAACTGATCATTTGTCATTAAGGTCTTCTTTGAAAAGTCACAAAATGTTTTATGTCTGATTTTAAATTCTGCTTCTTTCTCAATTGCAATAAAACACATTTTATAAAGAGCTTTTTTTTAAAAAAAAAAAAATTGTGCTGGGGCTTGAACCCAGGGCTTTCACACTGAACTTCATCCTCAACCCTTTAATTTTTAAAAATTTTTAAATTTTGAGACAGGGTTACTTTAAGTTGCTTAGTTGCCCAAGCTGGGGTAAAATTTGCAATCCTCCTCTTTCAGCCTCCAAAGTGCTGGAATTATAGGCAGGCACCACACCTGACTAAAGAACCTTTTTCTTACTCCCTCAGTTAGTCCCTGACCACACA